GTTTTTATTACATGGCTCATTTAACTCCCAGAAATATCCCAAAACTGAACATTTTAAATTAAATTTATGGAGCTTTTTAGGTGCCGATATGAATATAGGTATAGATTTTATTGGAGAAAAAAATACATTTTATATACAAATATGCCAAATTCGGTTTTACCAAATGTAATTAATAGTAATGCAAAAAAAAGATCTAAGTATAACCTGAGAAAACAAACAATGTTATGGATATCAGAAAAAATATCAACACTAAAAAGGTAACCTACTACAAGATAGTATATGTTTGTTTAAGTTAAAAAAAATGCTTTCTCTTAGTCCATGAGAATATTGCCACTTCTGGGGTACCTACCACAAGGTAGAAATTTTGGTCCACTATTGTTTATAATGAATTATATCATTCATGAATAAAATTAAACCATAAAACAGAAAGGATAGATGAATCGTTTCAAAGTAATATGAATTTTAGCATTTAGGCAACCCAACGTCCTGTCTAAATGAGCAAAAATGGCAGACGCTAGACAAAAACAACAAAATTTTGGAAGGTAATCTGACTTTTTCATTAGTGTTTGACTTGTAAATCATATATTCAATAATCATAATAATGCCAAAGAAGACAACAGAGTACCTACGGAATTTTAAGTTGACATATACCATATTTTAATGCTATTTTAAGGCTACTATTAAACCCTATTCAAAAATGTTATGCTCTTTGTTTTTTGCAAAAATCAAGTTACTCTGTTGTGTTATTATTTTTAGGCTCTTGAAATATAATAAAACATTTCAGTTAAAATTAAATTTTTAAAAAATACAGGGTGCTTTGCTAGCTTTGAACGGTGCCAGCAGAGCACCGCCGTTTATTGTTTTTTTTATGCCACGTTTTTAGGCTCTTGAAATATAAAACTACTAAAAAAAAATTGTATTTTTTAAAAAACAACCACACCATCTTTTCGGGTTATTTTTAGGATCTTGAAATATTATAGAACTTTATTTTTAATAATATGCATTATTGTTTACAAAATCAGCAGAGCATCGCGATTTATTAATTTCTTTCTCTGAAAACAACTACTTATGACACATTTTTAGGCTCTTGAAATATAAAATTAAAAAAAGTAATTGCTATTTTTAAAAAATAAGGGATTCTTTTTTAGCCTCGAATGAAGCCAGTAAAGCCAGCAGAGCATCTAGTTTTTTTTTTAAACCACATCACGTTTTTAGGCTCCTGAAATATTACACATTCCAAAAAAATTTAATTTTTTTAAAAAAATATGCGATTACTTGTTGACTTCAAAGTTTTTTTCTGAAAACAAATAAGTAAACCACATTTTTTTAAACCTTTAAAAACCAAAGTGCTCTATTGGACTAGTTAGAAGATAGCAAAGTATTGTTAATAGTAATTTTTTTCAAAAAGCTTTATAATGTATCGAAGAGCCAAAAATAGCCTACAAATGTGAAATAAGTGTTTTTATATAAAAAAATACGTTAAAAAAAGCCGGGGCAATCTGCTGACTTTGTTCCAAAAAAGCACCCTGTATTATTTAAAAATAGCAATTTTAAAAATGTAGTGTGTTTGTTTTTAGAAAAAGCTTTGAAAAACGAGGTGCTCTGCTGGCTTCTTTCGAAGCTAGCAGATCACCTTGATTTGTGCAAAAAACATAGAGCAAAACATTTTTGATATGGTATAAAAATAGCCTTAAAATAGACTAAAAATATGGCACAGGTTTCAACTCAAAATTCCATTGGTGATCTGTCGCCTTCTTTGGCATATTTATATATTCTCAATATATATTATTTTTGTAATTTTTTAACTAAATACATTTACTTTTATTGTTTTTAAAAAATGGCGTTTATGATTTATTCTTCCTTTACCAATATATTATTTTTTGTAACCTAAATATCGCACATGCAATCAAATAGTTATGAGTTAAATAGATACAAATGTTCAAAATTAAAGGGTGCATCATAGTCATATCTGTAACTCCACATATTCGCCACTAGATGGCAGATGTCATGGTTTAGCACTGAGACCAGTTTCCTCTTCAGTGTTCTCAATTAGTGTGACATTTAGTAATTTTCTTTTTTTCAAGTTATAACTCTATTGTATCAGAGATCTGATATGTTAGATAAGTTTGCTTAATTGTATGGTATTGAGAGTATATTTTTGATGTGTTACTGTATCATTAATTTATGTAGGTATTCTAATTTATATTGTCTTGTAAATGGAGAATCCTGTTGGACTATAAAGAATTTACTTATTTATTTTCCAATCATCCACCATCTAAAATCACCTGATTTGGATTGCTCAATTAATATTTTAAATAAATCTGTTGATCACTTTGATATAATTTATTATTCAAGCAAATGTCCATCTAGACCCGTCCTACCTAATCACTACTACTGGTTATAGTCATGCGAAATTTTTCCTAAAAAACAGTAAGTACCTAAGGGGACATAGATAGTGTGTACATGCTTCGATGAGCAATGAGCAATAAGCAATGTAATATCAAATGTACTAATTTAAATGAGAGTACATACCAAAGATTAGCCCACAATCTCATCATAAATGTATATTACATTGATTGACATCTACTTAACCATTGTCTATCCTATTGGTCATCGATCAACGAGGCATGTACACACCCTTATTCTCAACATTGTATTTTTTCCAAAATTTATTTTATTAGTAATGTGTTTATAAAGCTTGAATTAGTGTAAACAAATTTAATATTTTAAATAGGTATGATCAATAATCATTGTGGTTAACTTTATTATTAAACTTTTTAACCCTATAAAGATAAATGCAAGAACAATTACATTTTAAGACCAATAATACTAAGGACTACCCTGTTTTTTAAACGACTTTTTCAGGGACAACTACAAAACTAAAATCAGACAAAAATCCAACTATACCCAAATATTTATAACCCAAGTTTGCCATATTGCCATACTAATGTCCAAGGACAAGGAGTATGGAAGACAGAACCAAAAAGGGCACAGAAAAGGACACAAGCAACAAGATAATAGATATATAACTATATAATTAATATATCATATAGGTAAATACCTGTGAAACAATCTGTAATTATTAACTGTAAATATGTACTTAAATAAAGATTTTGAATTGAATTGAAAGACAAATTTGATAAATGTATTGCTTTAAAATAACTAATGACTAATAAAAATAATATATATAAATGAGTAAAAAAAAATTAGAAATTCAACAAATTAATTACAAGTAAACGGTTAGAGAAAGTATGGTACAGTTATAACAATTTTATACATGACAGGATATAAATATAAATACTGTCCATAAAATTACAATGATGTGATTCAAATGTAGAAAACCTGCAGTTTTTCTGTAAATTTCTTTCATAATTTAAAATTATTTATTTTTTAACATGTATACATTGTTTTCTATTAACTTCTACAATAATAAACCTTGCATGAAAATAAATATTATTTATTAATATTATGTCTATAATAGATTAGTAATTTGAATTAATAGTTCATTAACAATTTAAACAATAAGCATTATGCTGACATGTGCCTACTTTTACAAGGATTGTTTTTGAATTAACTACCTCCTATATACAATTACTTGAGAACATATTGAACAACTTAATAGATGTTTAAATAATAGGTCTAACCTTTTTGGAGTTTTTTTTTTTTTAGGTCACAACAAGTACTGTATCTTGTCAGATTAGAATAAAAGATTCTGAGTATGTATAAAACATTAGAAAACAAACTTTATAAAGATTTTGTTTCCTGCCAAGTTCGGACAGGGAATTTCCCATTCAATAATTTTCTAGCTAAACTGTTTCATAGATCTGTTTGCTTTAAATTGCCTCCTCACTAATCACAATGAAAAATTTGTCAATGATTATTTTCAAAAATATAAGTGGTTCACAATAAACTATCATTATTTTGATGGCATATTAAATACATATATTAGATCTATTAGTACCCTATTATTTTAAATGAATAGCATTACTGTTTTTATTATTTACATTTTTTTAATATAATTGAGGTTATGCTATGGTTAATAAGTTAACTGTCTTGATGCTAAAATATGTTTACAATTAAAAAGGTTGGTATATTTCATTTGTAGGTAACAAATCATAACTGAATAAAATATTTCATAAAACTACCTATATTACAATTGGATATCTTTTAATTTTGAATAGATAGGTATCTTTTTTTCTTTATCCTTATTGTAATCCACAAACTTCTCAATGTCTTGTTTTGATATAATTATCTAGGCAAACAAAAAATCCTTAATAAGCAATAACAAACATTCAAATACAACGTTTTGATGTACTTCATACTCAACTCGAGAAAATAATTTTTTTTACTCATTACAAATAATTATCAAATTATTAAAATACGAACATTTCCCATTATCTGTTGTTTAAAAGAAAAAAGTTTCACAAACATAAAAATCGACGCTGAATTATATTCACATTGGTGTAGAAGCAGCATAGTCATAAAAAATCAAATTTGCATCAAAATAAAAACAAAGTTGCACAAAAATTAATATATGCAGCTACAAAAAAGTGGAACAGATTGGCTCTCCATCTTTAAACTCGTTAGTTTATAGGTACAAAAGTAAAAGCTGAAACAAATTCGTCGATGTGCAAAAGTGATAGTACCTAGTTGAAGTGAAATGCAGGTCATTGCCGCACTTAGGAGGCAGTCAAACAAATTATTTTCCAACGTAACAGAAATTGAAACTGCACAATAACAGATAGTGTCGGTATTATCACACTGTTCTATTTACGCTAGCAAATGTCCTACAAGCATGTATATGGATTGTACAAATGTAAATATGCAAACATGATTGGCATATCTGGGCGAGATTATATACTAACAGCCCAATCCGGTAGACACGAGGAATTGAAAACACCGTAGAGCGGTAGCCGCTATATCTAAATCATGCTTATTACTCATTTTCCCGACCTAAACAAGCTAATAATTCTTTTAAAGTATAATCTGGAAATGCTTACCTTACACTTTCCCTGACAGAAAGTACAGAAACAAAGAGAAGCCAATGGAGCCACGCTGTTAGATTCCCAGTTGAGCAAGCTTTCTTTACTCCAAAATCACAAAACACTATCACTTTCCTTAAACAATCCTAGTAACTAAAAGTTGTGTTTATGTTTATAATTTACACAAATTTATTAAAAATATAATGAAATAAAACGCCACTTTCGTAAATTTCTTTCAACAAGAACGCCAGTTACCGTATCCCCACCTCGGCAATGTAAAATGGCGGTCATAAGAAACGGCAAAGTACTGCGTTCGTTTGTATTACCGAACCTCCGTTCGTTTGTTAGTTGGTTATATAAGTTCCGTAATTTTTAAAAAATATTACCTTATTAGGAAAATCATAAAACGAATATAGAGTTTATCAAAATATTAGGATTCATATTTCAATAAGCGAATTAAAACTAGATTATTTTTCAAATTGCTTGTTATTTTGTTCTCCGGTGTTTAATGTTAGGAAGGCATTTTTTAAAGACAAATTCGATTGACGTCATTATAGTAAAAGTCAGGTAAAAGTATATTTATTACATTTATTTTTTTAATTAAATTGCGGAATGTTGATAAGGGCCGATTACACCGTTATGTTAAACGAAGTTTAAATTATTAAACGAAGATTAAAATTATATTGTTAATGTAAAAATGTCATTTTAATATTCGTTTAGGGTGAGATTACAGAACGTCTGCAACTTTGCAGCTCTGCAAATATGCGGCGGACTTACAGATGCAAATATCAAGTTTTCGTATTCCAAAAAATATCTGCAATTTCGCAATATTTATTGTGGTTTATTACCCCCAACAACACTAAACCCAAATCCACCCTTAACGGCCAATTTCATAATCAATTTAAAGGACACTTTAATTTTAAAGTATCTTTTAACCATATAGTTTAAATAGCTTAAAGTCTCCTTTCATTAAAGGCCACTTTAGCTATCGATTATGAAATTGGCCGTTAGAAGGTTAGAACGAACATTCTATACACTTGCAGATTGTCAATTTTTACTTTATTTTTTTTAATAATCATGAAGTCTTCTGTTCCTTTTGATTGAATACAGTTCGTGGTGTCAGATTATCGAGTTTTTAAACATAGTAATGGATTTGGGTTTAATGTTGTAAGTCCGCCATATTTGCAGATCTGCAAACATATTTGCAGATCTGCAAAGTTGCCGCCATATTTGCAGATCTGCAAAGTTATAGACGTTCTGTAATCTCACCCTTAGTGATCTGCAAATATGGCGGCAACTTTGCAGATCTGCAATTATGGCGGACAGATGCAAAAGTATCAAATTTTCGTATTCCAAAAAATATCTGCAAATTCGCAATATTTTTTGTGGTTTATTACCCCTAACAACACTAAACCCAAATCCACCCTTAAGGGTGAGATTACAGAATCTCTGCAAATCGTACTTGCATCTGCAAATATCAGTTGCAGTTGCAAAAGAGAAACATATGGTATTACAGAAACGTGTGTATCCACTTTTTGCGTCTGCAAATCATCTGTAACTTTGCAGGAAGTTAGAACATCCTACAAACTTGCAGATTGTCAATTTTTACTTTACTTTTTTTAATAACCATGATGTTTTCTGTTTCTTTTGATTAAAAATAGTTCGTGGTGTCAGACTTTTGAGTTTTTAAATATAGTAATGGATTTGGGTTTAGTGTTCTTGGGGGTAATAAACCATAATAAATATTGCAAATTTGCAGATATTTTTTGGAATACGAAAACTTGCATCTGCAAGTCCGTCATATTTGCAGATCTGCAAAGTTGCCGCCATATTTGCAGATTTGCAAAGTTGCAGACGTTCTGTAATCTCACCCTTAACACTAAACCCAAATCCATTACTATGTTTAAAAAATCGATAATCTGAAACCACGAACTGTATTCAATCAAAAGGAACAGAGAAGACTTCATGGTTATTTAAAAAAAAGTAAAGTAAAAATTGACAATCCTGCAAGTTTGTAGGATGTTTTAACCTCCTTAAGGGTGAATTTGGGTTTAGTGTTGTTGGGGGTAATAAACCACAACAAATATTTCAAATTTGCAGGTATTTTTTGGAATATGAAAACTTGATACTTGCATCTGTAAGTCTGCCATATTTGCAGATCTGCAAAGTTGCAGACGTTCTTTAATTTCACCCTTATTAAACTTTATTCAACACAACCGTGGAATCGGCCCTTAAAGATCTACAAATAAAATTTAACGAATTTTTTCTGTTTGTAAAATAAAATATGCTGTAGCTTAATTATAAAACTCACTCAATTTGATCGTTATGCATGTCGTTATTTTAAAAAGTATAACATATTAAATTAATATAAGTAATAAAATAATAATTTAATAATTTTCGTGTTCTAGTTTTTTGTTATTTTTTTTTTATTTTCGGAAATTCAGATAGCACAAGTGTTGATTTGATCCAAATTCGAAAAGTATCAACCAATCATAGTATTCATAGTCGCGAAAATGCTCCTTAAACTAAACGACTTCGACAACAACGCCAAAATTTTCGCGGGCTTTTTATTGTCAGTGTCAAATACATGTTTTTATTTTGTTGAACTATTTTTCTGTGCTTTTTCTAATTTTGTTGTAGTGTTAATTAAAACAGGAGGTTCGAAGACTGCAAAAATGTCTATGAAGCACGAACCTCTTCGATATGCACATGACCAGGGCCATACGGATATTTGTTTTTCAGAAAATGGAAGGTAGGTATGCATTTGAATTCAAATCTATAATTATAATTTTATAAGATTATATGACAACATCACTGAACGTTCAAACTTTTTAGTAAATTCGTTACTTGTGGTGCTGATGGAGATATTAGAATATGGTCAATCGATGAAAGCGAAGATCCTGTAAATAATTGCGTTGGCGAATGGTCATTATCAATAGCTCAGAAAGGAGACAAAATTTATGTTTCCACAGATAGCAATGATGTCCGAATACTTTCTTTGGAGGATGGCGAAAGAGCTGGAGTTCTTGATAGATCAACAGCTCCAATTAACCATATTGCAATTGATAAGAGTAGCCAGGTAAAAATATTATTTGCTTCATGAATTTGAAAACTGCTTATACTTTTGTGTTTATTTCTTTTGTAGTTGATTGCTTTAGCCAGTGAAGCTAAATTAATTAAATTGGTTGACTTGGACAATTCAGAAAAAGAAGTAAATTCGTTTGAAGGACTTATGGGGCCATGTTTAAGTGTATCATTATCTTCAAAGTCAAAACTGCTTGCCGCTTCATCTGGTGATACCAAACTGAGAGTTTGGGATTATGAAAGTAAAGTTATGTTACATGAAGATGTTTGTTTTCCCAAAGTTAACAGTTTTTCAAATGCAAAAGTGCTTTGTAAGTGTTATAAAAATTAGTAGAAATATTTTTCATACAGTTTTGTTAATTCTTAATCAGTGGCGTATCCAGCCATTTTTTATGCGAGGGGTTTTTGAGGTGGTTCGATCAAGAAGGTGAATAAAAACAAACAGTCAATAGCGATCAGCACCAATACTATAGCAAAAATGGTGATGTGAGGACACTCCATGCAGGGGTTTTGGCCCCCCAAGCCTCCCCCTCGCGGCTATGCCACTGTTCTTAATACACTTCAGTCCCAAACAACACACACTAATTGAGCTTTTATAATTAACTGCATGGACGCTAATACTGCTTACGGTGTTCAAAATACATGGCTTCTTATGGGAATTATACATAATTTTGTCAAAATAATAAAAATAAACTTGTTTATAGCTAAATAAAGCACAGAACATGCTGTTGTATTTATTTCTACATAAGTCTTGCATGTTTTAATTGATAAATTATTTAATTTTATCTATATAAAATACAAATTAGGTAGGTATGACCATAGAAAAACTAAAACAGTATGACCAAATTCGAAATGGTTTGTTAAATGCTGAAGTTTGATAAGTACAATTTTGTGGCAAATTTTTTTGAATTGAATCTATATATAGTTTTAAGAGCAAAATAAAACACAGCTAACAGATTTTTTATTGTTGTTATACAAGTATAAAGGGAGACTTAGGAATGTACCTACATCGTATTACCTCATCCTTTAATTTAAGGTTTCCCCTTTTTATTTTACTAATAGTACCATCAGTAAAAATAGTCTCATAATATTTGATATCTTCTAAAAAGTATAGAACAGCATCATCTCTAGAAAGTGCTTTATCGGCACTAGGAACGAATGATATATATGCTGCCAGTAGATGCGTTTAGTATCCTATAAAAAACATTTACTATGGCATAATTGGGGTTCAACAAAAAATAACAATAGCAACTCTTTATCTAACAATAAAACTCTATAAAAAATAAATTTTCTTTTCTAGTAAGTTAAATTTAATGTATAATTATTGTTGTTTGTTAGTCAGGATCTATGACTGTACAATTTTATATTATAGAAACTTGTAATAAAATAAACTACACTCCGTAAGATACATATTGTGACTAGTTTACAATAAATATTATATTTAGATATAAATACATTATTTTACTTACATTAGAAGCTTTAAAAAGGCATTAAATTGATTTTTCTTTTTGTTTTCTTTAGTTTTATATTTGATTTGTATCCTGTTTTTTCAATCTGGAACGACGTAAATATTGCTTTGATGTTTTTTTGTCACTGGTGTTAATTGTACGCAGGTACTTTTTTTTCACATTATTTTGATTCTTTTCACCAATTTTTTAAAAAAATCTATTTTACATAAACTTACATAGAAAATTGACACTGCTGTTATTTGGCATGCCAACTACAGTCAATTTCGCGAACTTTATAAAAAGAAAGACGGAAATTTGAAATTTGACCACTTCTGATTCGTCTCCTTCTCTCTAGTCTTCATAGTCATGCCAAAGTACGAAAGCGCCATGCTTTTCACTTGAATGCTGTGCTTTTTACTTACGCTTTTAAACAAAAAGTTGTAAATAAAGAAATTTGAAGAGGTAAGCCCTTTTTTTCAGAACTCCCCATAAAAAGAACTTGTTTTATAAAATATAAGATGACAAACTTTTTTTTTTTAGATTCCTCTAAAAAAGGACTTGATTTGATAAAAATTCTTGTTTTTTAATCTGATCCACAGTCATCTCCGTTGTCCCGCTTTTCCCTTTCGTAAACCTAGCAACCCTGCTCTAAGTAGATAATTTTGATCCTAATTTAATTTTTTAGGTCGAATGGACTTTGAACCAACTGAAGGAAAACACTTGGCATATCCAGAAAAAGACACTGTTGTTATTCTCCAGGTGTCAGATTGGTCTAATAAAAATATTTTAAAGTGCAGTCAAGTTGATTCTCAATATTCTATTGTGCAGTACTCCCCTTGTGGCAAATATATTTTAGCTGCTTCAGAAAAAGGGGATTTTGTCATATGGAATACCTCTAATGGTGAAGTATCAAATGTTAGCAAACATGAAGCTTCTCTGTCTATTTGTGGACTGATGTGGAATCCTTTAGGTGACTTAAATCATACTGGGTTATTACATTCTACCTTTTAAATTTTGTAACCAGAACTCAATTCTGTTTTTCAATCAAAATATATATTTTTAATATTCATAGTTTTTGTATATATATTCTTTTTTTTTTTTTACTTTAAGGAAATGGACAAATTGTCTATACAGATGTCGAGGGCCAACTAGGAACCATGGAATGGTCCGTTAAAAGTACAACAACAAAAACATCTGATGCTGTCATTAACACCAAGAAAGTTACTACTGGTGATGAAAATGGTGTTCTTTTTAATGATGAACCATTTGATGACGATGATGAAGATAATGAAAACGCTTTTTCTGTTAGTAAACTTAAAGAACAGTATTTGGGCGACTTAGATTTAGAAAGCAAAGATTCTGTAGCTGGTAAGCAAACTATGAAATTTATTTCTAATAAGTAATTAACATATAACTTGATATAGACATTTTTTATATTAACTTTTAAATATTTGACAAAAAAAAATGAATTTATTCCCAAAATATTTAATTTATAATAATATTAATTCACCCCCTTTTAAGTAAACTCCTGAAGTTCTAATTATTCATAAAACAAATGACATGAAAGACAAAACATAGTCATTTTATTATAAACATAGCAAATAAGTTTGATTTTCAGACAACATAACATTCTTTATAAATATAATAGATTGGCTTATTGTTATATGAAGCATTTACAAATATTACGTTAATTATTTTTTGATAGATTTTTGTATGGTTTAGGATCTTCCCGTGCAAACACGCCACGACCACGTACTCCCGAAATTCCCCTTCAACCACCTTTCATGTCCTCTTCTACCCCAGAACACTTGGATCCTCGATACATGTGCTGGAATGAGGTCGGCGTCATTAGGTGTTATGGCAACAATGCAGATGAAGGTGCTACGAAATCAATTGAAGTAGAATTTCACGATTCCACCTTCCACAACAGCATGATGATGCAAAATTATCAAGAATATACGATGGGGACTCTCAGCAGGGCGGTTTTACTTGTAGCCAATTCTAGGTATAAGTTTATTTGTAATATCTTTTATTATAGATACCTACGTATGTTTTGATTCTTCTATTGCGGCAGTTACAATAAAAACTCGCTTCACATTAGGTGATAAATGCACTTTTTTACCCAAGGACGCCATGCTATTTTGCAGTCAAATCTTTTCGATAAACTAAATGTTCTGCTTTCTCTTCCATTAAAACAATGGGGTTTTCTATTGAAGTAATCATTTTATTAGTAAGTGACAATGAAACAGTTTTTAGCTATCTGAATTATTATAACTATACTATATAAATATGAATTAATTTCTTCATCATGGGTTAAATGCTTTTACTACCATTTCATATAATAGTAATATTTATCCAAAATATAAATTACAATTAAAATTCAATCAAACTAATAATAAATTTGGCATAAATAAGGTACTCGATAAGAGAAGAAAATAAAGATAAAATAAAAGTGTGACTGGAATGGTCACAGATATTATTACAACTAAAACCAAGACTAAAAGGATAAATTTTATTCTACATTCTAAAAGTAGGAAGAGTATAAAAAATATTTTTACAGTAGAGCGTCGATAATCTGGACGTCAAAAATCCGAACTGTCGATAATCCTAATTCAATTCCAAGAAAAAATGTGGAAGTAAATACATACATATTTGTCAAACAAAAGCGTTGATACAACATGCTAACTGCTATAACTATAATTTTCGTTAAGCTAATTATCCAAAGTTATACCAAATGATTTCTAATATTGATTGGACGTTTTTAGATGCATTTCAATGATGCATGCACGTACTTTTACGGAAAAATTTACAATGTGCTCGATAGGTGTGTGCCTAAAACCACTGTAAAGTCTTCTAAAATTTACCCACCTTGGTTTGATTATAATATTATTGGTCTCTATCGTAAAAAAGCAAAGTACCATCGTCTATATAAGAGAAATAGTGACCCATCTGCGTACATAGAGTTTGCTAGGTTAAGGGCTCAAATCAAACTAGATGTAGATAAGTCTTATAAAGAATTTGTTAAGTCTGCAGAATCAAATATTACCACGAATCCTTCTAGTTTCTGGGCTTTTGTGAATAGGACGAAGGGTTTTAATTCCGTACCTAATAATATGAGTTATAATAATATTATTTTAGATAATCCTAATTCTATTGTAAATAGTTTTGCCGAACACTTTCAACAATCATTCATTCAGTCGTCGGATCCATATTTTACAGCTGATGATACACAACAATATACTTGTCTTTCTATTAATAGTTTTAGTGAAAAAGACGTACTGTATGCTTTAAAGAAAGTAAAAGCAAAGAAAACTAGAGGTCCTGATGATATTCCGGCTTTTCTGATTAAAGACTGTGCACATGCCCTTGCTTATCCTTTAATGGTGTTGTTAAATATATGTCTCAAAACATCTACCGTTCCAGATATGTGGAAGACATCGAAAGTGTGTCCTATATTCAAAAAGGGAGATAGGACTGATGTAACCAATTATAGACCGATATCTGTAATTTGTAACTTTTCGAAAGTGTTCGAGGTTTTATTGTATCGCGATATTAATTTGCACGTCAGCGGTAAAATTTCACCGCATCAACATGGTTTTGTACAACAACGTTCAACGCTAACTAATCTTGTTAACGTAACACAAATCATTGCCGAGAATATTGACGGTAAAAAGCAAACAGACGTTGTATACACAGATTTTACTAAGGCGGTTGACACATTGGATCACGGAACCTTGCTCACTAAATTAAAATTATTCGGATTTCATGATTCCCTCCTAAAATTATTTACATCTTATCTTCAAAGCCGTAAACAGTATGTGTATATAAATGGCTTCAAATCAGTTGAGTATATCGCAAAATCAGGAGTGCCAGAGGGTTCGAACCTGGGCCCTTTATTATTTATATTATTTATTAACGATATCACTGATATAATTGATGTTAATTGTATGTTATATGCCGACGATCTAAAATTGTGTATGACCATTGCTCACAGATCCGACTGCGAACGTCTTCAAGCTAATATTGATAGAGTTAAATACTGGTGTCTTAAAAACAATTTATCGCTTAATGCCGCGAAATGTTTTGTCATGTCATATGGTCTTAGCGCCAATCCTATAATATTTGATTACATCATTACCAACACAATCATCCAAAGACCAACGACTATTACAGATTTAGGTATTACGTTTGATAGAGAATTATCTTTTGGTCCGCATATAAATACTGTTATATCCGCTGCTTCTCGTCTTTACGGATTTGTTGTACGAGCTAGTCGAGACTTAACCAATTCGTCTACACTCACCATCCTCTACTATGCATTCGTAAGGTCAAAACTTGAGTATGCATCTATAGTTTGGAATCCATTTTATCAAATTCATATTAACAACTTAGAAAAAGTCCAAAGACGATTTTTAAAACTGTTAAGTTTCAAAATTGATGGTGTCTACCCTGCAATCGGAACGCCTCATAATTCTCTTTTGCAAAGACACGCAGTTAATAGCTTGTCAGCTCGCCGTTCTTGTAACTCTGTGCTGTTTTTATTTAAGTTACTGACTGATAAAATTGATGATTCTGCCATATTAGAAAGGATAAACTTTCATGTTCCTCGATTTTCGGCAAGGTCTGCATGCACTTTTTACCTTCCAGTGCCTAGAACAAATGTTTTAAAAAGCTCTCCCATTTACGTAATGTGTGAATGTTCTAACGAAATGTGCAGTAATTTAGACATCTTTAATTGTACTGTAAGTAAAATTAAGAATCATTTTCTCTTATACTCTAGGTTGTAACTCTTGTTCTTATTGTAACCTATTTACTTTTGAATTTTTGTTGTTCAGATTGTAAATATTTTTTTTTCTTGTAATCCTGTTCTTTAATTAGGTTTCCTGTTGAACAGTGTATTAAATAAATAAATAAATAAATAAACTGCTACCAAATGTACACAACTGTACCGTATTCTGTAAATACATATTTTACATTACTTATGTATGTACATATATTCTTTCATTAAAATACATTATAAGTTCATATTAATCAATGATTTTATTTATCTGCTCAATTATTTACCACAAAAGCGAATTCTTAACGGTTTCAGCAAGTTTTCTTTTTGTTATGAACTCAAACGACTTTTTTAATTAACTAATAATAGTTTATATAAATAAAACTTTGCAATAATAGGTCTTTTCCTTTGCATCGGAAGTGTAGTACTGAACTACACCACTTCTGAAAATATCGTTTCATTTATACAAATTGTATGAATGGAACCATATTTTAAGAAGTGACGTAGCTCAGTGCTACACTTTCGATGCAAAGGAAAAGTCCTATTAAATGAACATAAGTTCCTGTTTGATTATTATCCTCAAAAACAACCCAATCTTTAAAAATCTTGTTTGTTTTTTGTTATAACTATTAGAAATGGCCGAAATGAAAGCGTTATATTTTGTCATACACATGTTTCATTTCAGTCAAATTCACGTTGTGCCTCTGGTAGCCAGCTCCAAGGAGTGGATGCTAAAAATGGAAGACATGGAGGAAATAGTTTTAGTAACGGCATCGGAAAATCTTGTATGTTTCGCTATGTCAAATTACATAATCAGAGTAGCTTCAGTTTACGGTACTCAGAGGGCCGTGATTTCCATACCTGGACCCGTAGTGTCGATGTCGGCTTTCAAAAATCTGCTCATGGTGGCTTTCCACACTTCCAGTGTTCGCAAGGGCGATCAGTGTGTCAATATTCGATTGATCAAGTTTGAAGGTAAGTTTAACATGCTGAACAAAAAAAAAAAACAATCTAAATATTTAATTATCAACTTCTTAAAGGTACATCGATAGAATGTAAAGACATAAGTTCTGCAATGGGGCCCGAATCTACGTTACAATGGATGGGATTTTCTGATGTCGGTACGCCATCGATGATGGATTCATTGGGAATGCTGTCGATGTATCCCCACAATACCAATACTTGGATTCCATTTTGTGATACTACAAAGCATGTAAGTGGGGTATTAAATCCTCAGATATCAGGCATTAATCTGTGGTTTCTTTTAGAGAAAGAGTCCAGGAGACGGATTCTTTGTAACAACAATATTTGAATCGAACCAAACAGTTGGAGGCATCTTTTGTAAGGGTACAGTATACCCGGGTTTTACACCTCGTCCTACAATGTGCGAAGTACCAATAGAACCACCGTTTTCTGAAAGTTTGAATGACAAAACAAAAATGGAAATGAATTTATTCACGTGGTCCATGCTGCAAATTCCTGATATCGATAAGAAATTCAAAGAGAATGCCATCAAAACATTTGCGGTAATTCATTCTTATTGAGAGAAGGTGCATTATGGAAAAAATATTTCATTGTCTACACCTCTCTTTGTTATAATTGATTAATATTTCCCAAGATACTAGCATTATTGTAGACATACACATTGTCTAAAACAGTTGTCTACAAATGGAAATCTATTATTTATTTTACAAAAAAAAAAAATTGATAAAAGTCCTTAATTACTTAGAAATCAAGAATTAAATTTATAAAATATTCATATTTAGTGATATACGGGGTAAATAAAAAATAATCTATATTGAAAGAAAAAGTACTCATAAATTCAAAAACATAACCAAATTTGTTTTTAAATTTATGTCCAAGTTTAAATTCATGGACATCTATTTTTTTCTGGGTTCATAAGACTTAGCCTCCGATACATTCTACTCGTATTTAAAAAAATGTCAATAGATTAAGATTAAATTTTTTTTCCAATTAACCGCTTAAGTTGGATTATTAAACATCTACATGCAGTCTAAAATGCAGGTCCCTATGGTGTATCACCATCCGGATTAAAGGACTACTGCGACTCGCTTTCTTTACCTTTAACTTGGTGCTAAATTACAATAAGATATTTCTATAATCTATGTTTTAATGGAATCAACAAATGAGCATGGGCATTTTTAATTATGTTAGCACTAATATTATCCTGGCCACCTTTTACATTATTTTTCAGGCTATCTATTTGTAATATGAGTTCATTGTCAGATATTGGAGTGAAATAGAAAGAGTTCCGAGTTGATTTAACTTTGTTCTCAATATCGCAATGTACTATTTTTTTGGCTAATGATTTACCAATTTCATTAAAATAAATGTTGAATTCATTGGCTATATCTTTCTTGTCAAAGATTCTTCATTATTACTATTCATCATGCTTTTAATTTCGTTTTCACTTTTATGGTCATTAGTGGCCTCTTTAATTACTTTCCACATTTTTTTGGGATCATTCGCATGTTTTAATGTTAGATTTTTATAATGGGTATAATTAGCTTTTTTGATTAGATTAGAAAGTGTTTTTCTATATTCTTTGTATTTATTTAAAAGTTCTAAGTTTCTATTAAGAGTAAATTGTTTTTTATCTCTGTTTCGAATTGAATTTAAGAGGCCACCTGTGATCCATGGTTTTAATCTTTTATTTTTATTATTAAAATATTTCCTTTTAGTACATTGCGTTACAAATCTTATAAGTTTATCCACAAATATGTTAGTACTTACATTAACATCATCCCATTCTGCTTCTTTGAAAATTTTGAGTAACTCGTTATTATCTTTGGTTTCATATGGGAGGTTATTTTGAGTTACTATATTTTTTTTTGTTGAGTTTCAATATTAAGCGGAATGGGATAATGATCAGTAAGATCCTTCACTAGTATTACAGGATTCGTCATCTCGAGTTCCTTATTTGTACATTTAACGAAGTAATGATCGATGCATGTAGCTTTTTCTTCAGTTACTCTTGTTGCTTTATTAATCATGCTAACGAATCCTTAACTATGAAGCATTGTAAGGTAATTGTTTGTTGATGTTGAGTTTAAGTCAAGCAAGTAGATTAATATCTCCCACGATTATATGCATACGATTTTGGTCTACTAATGATTCCTGCAAGATTAGGTTAACGTTATTAATGAAAACATCCTTGTCTATGGCATGAGATCTGTAGGTGGCAAAAATATCTAGATGAATAGAATGCTTGGATATTAAAGCTTTGGCCATTTTCACAACTATTTGATAGAAGCCTTCTGTAATGTATGCAGTACAACCATCGAATTTATTTAGTGTGCTGTTATTCCAATATAGTTAAAACCTGTCGTGTTATAAATTATATGTGTCTCAGACATAACAATTACATCAAAACGCCTACCAAATGCTTCTAGCAAAAGAAGGAATTGGTCGTAATTTATGTACATGCTTCTTATTAGGAGTACCTACTCTCATCTCTCAAAACTTTTAGCAGTATTTGCCATTATTTACTTCTTAAAAAACTAGCAGAAATTGGCATTTCGGGCAATTATCTTAATTGGTTCAACTCTTACCCGAGTTGTCGCTCTCAGCATGTTACCATGCAAAATTCGGTATCTAGTAAGATATCAGTGACGTCCGGTGTTCCACAGAAATCTTATATTGACCCGGTTTTATTTTTATTATTTCTGAATGACGCAACACCTTGTTTTTTAAACAGTGACTGTTATTTTCAGACGCACCTTAAGTTTCGCAGCACTCGGCTTTACAATCGGATCTCGATCCCTTCACTATCTGGTCTAAACAAAACCTTGTCTCTAAATTCACTTCACAAGATTTCCCAACCCTATTCAGAATTCTTACAAGGACGATAATAACAGTATATTTCCTTTTGTATGCTGATAGTCCTAAAATTATACTGCTGTGTGGAGAACATAGGTGATTGCTAAAACCTCAGCAAAAACTTAAGACGAGTTGTTGAATGATGTTATCAAAATTACTTGCCACTAAACCCGGATAAATGTAAAGTTTTATGTCCTACATTTTAAAACCGAATATCCTAATCCTGTTTATTCGTTAAAAAACGTTGCCCTCGTACGACCATAAAGATTTACTGATCTTGGCGTCACGTTTGACACGGCATCATCGTTTGCTAAGCATGTTGATAATGTTCTATCCTCCTCTTATCATATGTATGGAATAATTGCACGCAGCAGAAGCGATTTTATAGATACTTTTATTAGACCAAAGTTAGAATATACTTTAGTTGCAATTCAAAGACATTTATTTTAGCCACCAATAGATACACCTCACTCTGAATTAGTACCAAAGTATAAATTTTTCTGATGTATTCATTATATTCTCTCAATTCCTGCTCTATAATTTTTAGTATACTGCTTGAAGTCTAAAAACATCGTGCAGCAGTTTTCGTCAATTTTAATGTGCTGGTCTTGGAACAACCAATCATGGAGCTAGTTTCAGGCAGTTGAAAACAAATTATTTAGTTTCTCAATTTATGGCCATTTATGTGCGTGGCTAGACGCATTATTCCACATGTTACTGTTTTTGTATTCTACTGCTATTGTTTAACCATCTCAGCGTGGCTAGTAACGTGGTTGTATGGCCTTTGTTTTCACCCTAAACTTGGACATCATTTGTCATATCAACATTTAAAATGAGATTGTGTTCTATATTTGAATTTAAAATGATTATTTTTGATTGTCCATGTATATTACTAAATATTTTACAAATTGGATTCTTGTGGACAACTTTTATAAAAAGGAAAACTTATGTGTTTCAGTTAGCCTGCAAGAATAATTTAGACGAAAGAGCACTGGAACTTATGGAAATCCTATTGAATCCACAAATAATAACTCTAGCTCTTAAATACGCTACTAAATTAGACAAAAGAAGACTAGCAGAAAAATTGACGGAGTTATTATCGAAAGTTTCCGAAGAAACTGAAGACGCTGCAGAAAAAGTATAGGTTTAATAATTTAGTCGTTTTTCTTTTGTTTTAACGATTTATTTTAAGGAAGCTGAAAAATCTGTCATTTTACCTGCTAAGCCTGCCTACAGGAAGTTGAGTTTGAATATGTCGAAAAGAACACCTAAAAATAAACCAGAAAGACATATAGATGTAAGTTTAAATTATCTAGAAACATGTTTTTACCTGTATCATTTATAATATACATCGGATAATTGAGAATTCTTCTATGATAAGATTAATAAATATTAAAAAATTGAGGAAGCAAGTCAGGTATTTAAACTTAAAGTGTTTTGTTTCCACTTTGGTATGTGGCAACGGTGTAAGCTTGTATAACTATCCTTTCGTTGACAATTTTGTTTTATTGGAAGAGGTTTCGAGAAGCACAAAGGTTTGAAATAGTTGTTGATATAAACAAATCAACTTCTGGCAATACTAGATGTCAGGTAGTTACAAGGTGAAGTGAGTTTAATCTTTATCTTTCATTAACACTCTGTAACCAAAAAATAGGGTTGCCAAAAAGATGACCAGTGTCCGACGTTAGAGCCTTCACGACTGTCGTTAATTACTAGACAGCGTTGCCACATATCAAACTAGAAATATCGTTTTAAAATATTTGAATGAAACCTATATAATACGTAAATATCTATCATTTTCTTAAATAAAGAAGAATTAGGAGAATACCCAGTTTTCTCCGAATATAACAATATATTTTTTATTGTTTAAGGTTGCTGCTACTCCAGATATGTTTGAAGCAACACAGCGTACTGTAAGTTCATCACTGAAAGTTAACCTTTACCCACTCTGTATGTTGTTTACTTTTTTAGGAAATTTCAACCCCCCAAGCTGAAATTACAAATTCTACATTTAATGGGTCAGTTACAGATTCAATGATAGAGGCAAGTTATTTTAAAACCTTAAAAACTTTTGTTATGCGGCACATTAATGATGACTAGGGATCCTTTTTTTAAAGAAATTGTCCTTGCGACGTTTTAAAGCTTAAAATGTCCATTTTTTACAGTACATGTTCTTTAAAAGGACGTAGTTTATAAAAATATAAGCTGATGAGGACCTTTTTGTTAGAAGCTTGCCAAAAATACTTGGTTTTTTAACTGGGTCCCCTGTCGTCATCATTGTCCCTCTTATCCCTTTCGTAAATCTGACAACCCTACCTTTATTCACTTTTCAAAAAGATGATAACCCTAATGATGAGCCAAATAAAGTTGTTAATAGACTAAATAGCTAGTTTTTGAACGGTTATTTGATTTATGACTTGACTGATGGCTATTTACAGATTTATTTGTTAGTCTATTTGGCTTTGAGTCAGTCCCATGTCTAAAAAACCCTTATTAAGCATAGTTACATTGTTATCAGTTTTATTAATATTCTCATCACATAGAGAAGTTTCAATTATTACGACTTAATTTCCTGACATTATTTTTATTTGTTGTGGTTTGTTCTGAAAATTTTATGTCATAAATTTGTTTTCCATTGTTTTATTTAACAGCCGTTATTTTTCAAAATTATTTATTTTATAACCTGCAGAGTTATTAATATTTAAGTAGGCAATCCACAGCATATAAAAATTCCTTTAGTTTAAAATTTGTTTAAAATTCTTTTTTATTAAAGGAAATGGTAAAAATATTAGATTTGTTTGAGTAATTTTTTTATATTAGAATTTAATAACTTAAAACTAGGATACTTGTTTTTTGTAATGTCGTTGCTCCCTCTTAGGATAATTACATGATCATTCGCAGTAAAGGTTTTGGTTAAATTTTCAATGTCTTCCACAATTTTATTCATTTGAGCTCCAGGTTTGATGGTCATTTCTACCAAAGCATCTTCTTTATTGAAACGTTTTCTTATTTCTACATCCAGACCTCTACCTCTTTTATCAGTTAATACAAGTATCTTTTTTTTTTGACAATTATTGATTTGAGTATGTATTTGTTTTCCATATTTTTTAATACCAACCTGCAGTTTATTTAATTGCTGATTGTAGACTTTATTACCTTCTGATAGTCTTTGAATCGTTTCTGGCAATTCTTCATTTTTAATTTTCATTCCATTTAACTCACTAATCATTAAAATGTTATTACCTTTCGCACATTTATTAGAACTTGCTAATTCGTCTAGTTTCTCCTTTAAATTCTCTATAACATTTTCATACTCAATATTAATTTGGTTAATGTCACACATGTTATATAACCTTTCTCCAAAACCTTCATTGTTGTTACCATTTTTTTTTATTTAAGTAATTTAATTCTGTTATATCTGTTTGTAATTATTCTATAAAATTATTTTTTCATATTTTTCATTTAAGTGATTATAGCTCTTAAAATATACTTTCAAAATAAATAGATAATTTTTAGTTAAATAATCATTTAGAAATCAATTCTGTACATCAATAAATAAAAATGGAGGTAGTGTCATTTTAAATTTCATTGAAATTATTTTTAAGATTGTATTTGTCTAAATCATACCACTGTAATAACTACATTAAAAATAATTTTATTACATAAGTATAAACTACTTTTTTACGGTAAGGAATAAAAAGAGTTAAAACATTTTTTTTTATAAAGAAGATATTCAACTTCTGTTTGAAATATTTATTTTGAAACAATCAAAAACTTTTATGAAGAATACATTTTCGATAACAGAATGGTTTGTTATTGTTTGGCTCACTGATGTCACACTAATCTAGCGCACTGATTATTTTTTATTTTTTGGAAAATCTGTTCCGTAAATGTAGTTTTTTTTTTGTGAAGTCTAAAATAAGTTGATATTGAGATACTGTCATCATTAAAATTTACTCCTCTAAGTCGTCCAGTTTATAAAAATTCTTTAGTAAATATATTCATTTAGGAAATGGAAACTAAGGAGCAACACGCCAATCCATTTCTAAAGAAGTTAAAAAACCAAAATGTCGCCAAAAATTCCAATCCGCTTAGTTTGACAGACAAATTTGCCGGCGTTACATATGGAAATGATTTAAAAGAAAATAAGGACAAAAACACAGAGGTAAATATCAAAAGATACATATACTATTTTTTTTTTTACAAAAGTAAGTAAAATTCGCTAACTAGTATTTTATTGATGCTTTTTAGACCGGAGAAAAACGAAAACTGGCGAGTTCCGAGAATGAAAAACCAAAGGAAAAACAGAGGAAGTTGGACATGTTTAAATTTAAGAAAGTCTCTTAGCTTTAATTTATATTATTTACTGTTAATTTTAAAAAAATGTTTATATATAATTTAAATCACATGAAATCAGTTTTACTCTAATAATAGCGCCATTTACACCACATAATATGCTATGCTCCTTTATACTTACCTTCACCGACTTAGCGTTTGCCCAATATGGAAGAATTTCAAAAATATTGAACTTTTCTGCGTTTACAACAATTAATCATACCTGAAGTTCAAAGTAAGAATTAAAATGCCACTTCCATTAAAAATTGGATATAAACATAAAAAAGAAGAGAATAAAAAAGTCGTACAATATTTACGTTTTTATTAAAATCTTCACAAAAACAGAAGACTTGTTATAATTATATATTTCACTGACTTAAAATAATTTCATTGGTTACTTTTTGGATTTTCTTGGATCACTGAAAAGTCCTTTAGCAAACATACTTTCCCATTCCTTTCCATTGGGGTAAACGTATCCTTCCAATGCTTCCTTTTTCATTTCGGTATTGTATCCAGGAGCCTAAAAATAAAAAAAAGACGAAAATGAGGATTTTGCTGCAAGAAGGGGACAATTTCATTTTTGTCAACTTTTGAGAAATAAAAAAAATATTTTATTGACAAATATAAAACATTCTAATCAAAGAATAAAATATTTACAGGTAACCTACAACTTATTTCTTGGTGAAATGTCTCTGAAGAAAATAATGGAAAATTGGAGCTACTCATATTTCTTTTATTTTTATAAATACAAGCTCAAAATCAATACATAAAATTTAATTGTAATATTAAATACAGGTGCGACTAGTTTCGGCCTCACAGGGCCATCTTCAGGCCTATAATACATAAATCCTTACTTTAGAATAGGAAAAAAAAATATTATAATGTCGTGCGATTTCCTGAAGCTGACTTTTTTCTTCGACTTTCATCATGCCGCAGACCATGGCCATCGAGACCCGACTCATGATCGAGATATTGCTGGAATTTTCTCTGTATGCGGTCCGACGCGTAGAGGAAGATTTCGAGATTCTACACAAGATTGGCTCTTTCTAGACTGTTACAATTTTATATATGTGAATTCTTTCTCCGTTTAGTTTAAGTTTTAATATAAATGTTGTCAAGTAAAGATAAATAATTGTAAAAATAGAAGTGTAAATTACAACAGTGCTCAAGTCTAAATAAATTAATTAGTAATTGGTGTTAGAAGTGGAACTGTAAATAAATAATGGACAAAAATGAATAAAAAACTGCGATTTTAAAGTGAGTTGCTTCGAGAACTATCGTAATCTGGAGAAGACAGGGAAGAAAGCAAAGCTGGCAGATCGTTTTAAAGAAGCAATAGAAAGTGAAGGCTTGGATCCGGAAACGTATTTATTTTCGGATGATGCAACTTCTGCTATAATTTCTCCTGATTTGGAAACCGAAATGTCTTTTGATATGACTTCTTTAAAAACCGAAATTTATCCGATTTAGAAACTGAAAAATGTCTTCTGAAGAAAATAACATTTCTTATGATGGTTCATCTATAAAAAACGATATTTCCTCCTTAGATACTAAAGTTTCTTCCGACATTTCCCTCTTAGGAAATAAAGTTTCTTCTTAGATAATAAAGTTTCTTCTGATATTTCTTCATTAGAAAATAAAGTTTCTTCCTTAGAAACTAAAGCTAAAGACATTTCTTCCTTAGAAGAAAAGGTGACTTCTGAAATGTCTTCTATAAAATTTTTTGCTGATGTGGAAAATAAGATTTGTTCCGTTGAGGAGAAAATAAAAGAGATGGACAAGAATATAGAAAAAATGGAACGTACAGGACAGGCCAAGGAGGGTGAAATAAAGTGCCATGAGGTGGTGTCAAACTTGAACTCTGCTCGTGTTAAAGTCCCAACTTTCGGGTTGGCGAATTTTTTTTTCGAAACACGTTTGTCTGAAAACCATTAGTTCGAAAATACGTTTGTTCGAAAAACCTTAGTTCGAAAACACTATTTTTTGAAAAATATTTGTTCGAAAATTGTTTTATTCGATAAAGCGTAGCTTGAAAATATATTTTTTTTTTTTTTCAATTTATGTTGATTTTTTCGTAAAGCAACCCGCGATGACTCCAGGCCGCACAGGTTAGGTAAATTAGTTAAGTTTTTTTTGTTTTAATTTAAACACTAGGAAAAAATCCATTTACTTTAATATATTTTACATTTAGATTAAACCAAAAAATCGCCTTTTCCAATTTTTTTGAACAACTATTGTTCGAAATATTTTTCGAGTAAAACTATCTTCGAACATAACGTTTTCGATTAAAAGTATTTTCGAATAAACGTTTTTCGAACAAACGTATTTTCGAACTAAGGGTTTTCAAAAAAACATGTTTCGAACAAAATTCCGCCAACCCAACTTTCGACGGGAAAATGTCGTGGACCAATTACCTGAAACAATTGGAAACAGCTGCCAGAGCAAACGAATGGTCTGAAAAAGAGAAGTTAGTAAATTTGACCATTGTCCTTCGAGGAGACACATTAGATATCCTTCAGATTATACCTGTGGAAGAGACAGATGAATTTGAACAACTTAAAAAGCGACTAAACATGCGATATGGCCACGAACACTTGGAGCATTTATACCAATCACAGTTAAAGAATAGCAAAAAGAAACGACCCTTCAAGAATATGAAGAAGATATTGCTAGGTTGGTGCGATTTGCCTACCCATCAGCTCCAGAAAACATGATGGAATATTTGGCAGTCTAAACATTTATGGCCGTAAGATGCAGAAAACACTCCACTTAGCCCGTCACAAAACATTGGTCGATGTCTTGTCCACTGCTCTAGAGTATGCGGTAGCTCCGCAGACTTCTAGAAAATACCGTAAAGTGAGGACTGTAAAAGAAGAAAACGTAGAAGAAAAACTCGACCAACTGGTTAATATAATGAAGAAATGTACTCAAAAGAAGATAAAGACAAAGCCATCAGGTGCTGGAATTGTGGTGAAATGGGAAATGTAAGCAGTCCACGCAAACACCCTAAGAACACTACAAAGCGAAAAACCGAGCCGGTGGCTGTACATGAAGAAAGTTGGAAAGGTGTTGAACACATCTGTTAAAGAAGTTACAATCCATCTTCACTTCTAGTTTTATATACTGAACTCATTGGTCGCCTTTTTTTTACACAAAAAATACAAGTTGTCATCATTCTCCTCTTCCTCGACAATTTGACAAATACTTTTAACCAGCGACTTGCAATAATTTTTTTCACAAATGATTTCCAAGATATCTGTTACCAATAAGCACTGTCTGAATTAAATGATGCCGTTGGTCTCACATGGTCGCCTGCAGTCAGCTTGCCAAATGTGTGAAGCACAACGACGGTGTCTCGATCTCCTGCCTGGCTTTCGCAATCTTTAACTCGGATTTTTTCATTAAACTGCAACTATATTTGACAGACACAACAGTAGTATGTACTTCAACTATTAACATAACCAACTGAATTCCGTTGTGCGCTACAAAATGTTATTTTCAATACGTTAGAGGAACTTACTCTTGGGGCCATGTAGTGGGCATTTTCGATGACCGTCGGATGGACGAAGTGCTCGTGCTGTTGGTCAACGTATTCCACCCATTTGCCCTCGGATGTACCAGATAAAGATACATAATCCCACATTTGCAAATGCTGTACCATTTCACAAAGGCCGACACCTCCAGCGTGAGGAACTACCTTAACTAAAAACGAGAAAAAATAAATAAAATTCATTATAAAATGTAAATTTTTAAGTCGATTTGATAAAGTCACAGTATATTTTTAATAAGCTACAAACCAAAATCTGGAATGTATGAAATTAATTGAAATAATTGTTTCTGGTAAAATTGTACATAGGCCAAACTGGAAGACCAGTTAAAACTAGATTTAAAGTACTTCTACCACACTTTGAATGCCAACTTATAGTTGGTCTGATTTCTAAAAATCGAAATAGTATTAAAGCTTTTGTTATTATTGAGTGTACAAGAACCTGTAGCAACAAAAACTATCTGTGAAGTGACGTTATATTTTTAAGCATACTCCAGAGATAGAAATAATCAAGAGGTGCTAGATATCCTCAGTGTAAATCGCAAAATGGGTAACTCCACTTTTTTCTGAAATGCAGATTACAACTCTATCTAGTACCAAAATCGGATTTACCATCTGAGAAATGCTTAATTTATTATTCATTTAAATTACATTATTTCCCATAAAAACGAATTCAGTTTTAATAAGTTCAAGGGCTCTAATTTAAATTAGTTTTTTTGGCTCTTCAGTAAAATTTTCCTAAATAGAGTTACGCACTTTGCGATTTACAGTGATGAATGGTGACCAAGGCGACCATTGTATCGTACCATTCTTACTAATTAAACGACCTGGAAATAATATTTATCTACTCTACACTATTGATCACATTGATATGTACCAACCTCCCAATTTTTGAGCCATCAAATAAACGGGCAAAATTTCGTTGACTCCCCCGATTCTGGCCGAATCGATTTGACAGTATTGAATGGCGTCGGTCTGCAAGAACTGCTTGAAAAGGACCCTGTTGCAGCACATTTCACCCGAAGCGACTTTAATACCAAGAGGCTTGAGCGCTTTTGCAATTTCAGCATGACCGAGTACATCATCAGGGGAAGTGGGTTCTTCGATCCATAATGGTTTGAAGGGAGCAAGTACTTTCATCCAGTCGATGGCTTCTTGAACTTCCCATACTTGGTTAGCGTCTACCATCTGGAATTAATGATGAATGTTTACTACTAAATTCGAGAAGATATCCTGATATACATACCAAAGTTTTATCCCAACCGATAACGTTTCTAATATATTCCAATCTATTGACATCGTCTTTTAAATTCTTTCCCACTTTTACTTTGAAAGCCGTAAAACCGGCGTCCATATATTTTTGGGCCAACTGTTGAATTTTTTCGTTTGAGTATCCCAACCAACCTGAAACAAAATATTACGTTTGACCACCAATCTAAAAGTTTTTAGTTAGATGTCCCATTAATGTATCATTCTATTATAGCAACAGTGCTTGAGTTATCTCGCTGTAACGCGAGGCTTGGAAGCAGGAGATATCGATGATCATGGGAAGAGAGAGCATTGGTGGCGATTTGCCTGCCCGAAATACATTCAATGCGAGACAAAAAAAAAATAAGAGCAAATTGCACCACTATTTGTTAAGAAATTAGCAGAGCTTAAAATGACATATTTAATGGAAAAAATATCATTTTAAGATTGTTTTACAAGTTACTGACATCAGTATACAGCGCAGTAGATAATTTGGCGGTCCCAATAATCTACTGCGCAGAATCTTGGTATCAGTGACTGGTTTCTGATTGTTGTTGAAACAGACCTTATGTAGGCATATTTGAAAATCTACTTACTACGAGACATTCGAGAAGTTACTGGAAATATCTGATACACACGTGCTAACGCATAGAAGACGTCGTGAATATTGACTCTGGGACAGGGCTGGTACGTCCAATTTTTATATAAATAGCGCGACTTTGTCTAGTTAGTCAGTTGATAGAAATATTTTGTTGCATAAAGTTAAGTTGTTTATATTCATTATATCATTACATAACTTCACTAATAGAAAGAGCGATAAATGAGGAAGGTTTGTGAATATAATTTGTAAATATTTTGTACAAAATGGCTGAACTATGAGGGTGTTTTGTCAAAAAAACTGTTTTATCGTACGCTTAAATGGCTAACGCTGGCCAAATTTTAAGAGATAAATCGGATCGGGTTGGTGGCAAGTTTGTGGTGTTGAGAGACAGAGCGGCTTCGAATCCTACACCAGACCATGTTAATTTCTAATTAAAATTGAATGGTTAGTTATAGGATTTGATGAGTACCGTCTTAACAGAAATTTAATTTCTGTTGATGACATCCAGATTATAAATCGCCATGCGTTACCGTCTCGATGATGGTGGGTGAGGTTTTCCGGATATTATTATTATTAATATTATTATTATTATTATTATTATAAAACAATTTACTAGAAATTTGTAGGTCTTAAAAAGACCTACAGAGAAGCCTATGAGAGCATGTGTCTATCTCCTAAGATACACTCACAATAATTATTTTTATGTATTGCAGATTAGTAAAAAAAAAACGAAAGTTTGTATGAGGTATAAATTTTTTAAAGGTAGGAACTTGAGAATTGGAATTGTAGCTACTCATCATAAATAAGTAAATAAAAATAAATAAAAAAATAAAAATAAATAAAAAAATAAAAATTAATAAAGAAGATAAAACATAAAAATTAATAAAAGTTAAATTATTAAAACTAAAATTAAATTAGGTAATAAAAATTAAATTAATAAAAGTATCGCACGAAAAATTTCTCTTGAGTAACGAAAACTGTTATTTACTTAATAATTGAAGTTTAAAAAATTCCAGTGAAGGGGGATTGGGTCAGCTTATAATTTCATTATACCTGCGCAGGCGTAAAGAAAAAAGTATACAGGGTGTTTCATTAGTTGAGACGTTTTAATATGGTATAGAATTCCTTAAAACAAACATATTTCTAGTAACTTTTTTTCGTAAACTTAAAAATTAGAGATTCGACCCTCTTTTAAATTTTAAGTATGGGTCTGGTTCATTTGGAAATTATCAGCAAACTTCTAGACACGAGATTATTTAAAAAAAAACTGCTATCGAGCGTATTAACTAGATCCATTCATCTATAAGAACTTTAATTGATAAACTGATGCCCGGTTTCTCAAACAGTAGATATAGTTCCTCATCTGACTGCAAAAAGTAACAGGTCGTGCATTTGCTTGCTATTTGTTGTTGGGTAAAGAGGAGGTTGTGAGATAACGTATACTATGTCCCGGAGGAAGAAGTGGTCATGTAATCTGTGAAATTCAAAGTATAAAGATGCTTATCGATGGATCCTTTTGGTGCCAAGGCGAAGAATATCGCTGTACATACATAAAAAAATGTTAGATGATTTTCTCATGGACCCAATTATTAGATCTCGACCAAATTTATATGGGATCATATCTGAAGTACCCCCTTTCTAACAAAAAAAGAATTATAGAAATCGGACAACGTGGTAAAGAATTATCGCTGAACATATATAAAAAAAACATTTTCTGACGAATTGAGAATCTCCTCCTTTTTTGTTAATAACAATTAAGACTTAACTTTTGAAACACCCTGTATATAACTAAACATAATCTAGTTGAATTTTTTTGTTTATAAAAACCTTACAGAATATGGAAATATACCAAAAAAGTACTAAATCGTTATTTTTAGAAGTACGTTGTGTGTTGATTACTGTATACATCTTAAATATTAGCTAATGATTAAATAAGCAAATATTTGCCTTCTCACTGGTAATTATTGCCAAGCGATATTTTTAGTTGAAGAAAGGAAAGTCTTTTAAATATTTTTTATACACAAAAAACAGGACTTTTTAGTTTAACAGCAGTAACAATGTAGCAAAGCAAACTAATAAACTATTTTAGTGTGACGTACATTGAATATATGCAATTCCATAAATAGTGTATACATTGAGTCACATTGAATTTGCGGCTTATTAATTTGATCCGTAGTTTCTCTGTACACAAAGATTAGAAATAATAGTGCAGATTTCAAATTCAATTATTTTGAGTTCACAAAATTAAATAAGAACATTGAGAAAGTCCCAGTAAATTCTACATATACTTAGAATAAGAACTAGTACATAGACACCCTTAAATATTTTGTGTACGTTCATAATTCAATAAAATATGAAGGAGGTGAGGTTTATGTATATTTTCTCAATCATATTTTCGGCTTAATCTATATACAGTTCACAGGATTTAATTTATTTGAGTGTCCATAGTAAGGAGTGATTCACAAATCACATATGTTGACCATACGAATCTTCTTTCTAATTTTCAAGTCTATATAGGGGAGGGGGGGTTAATGGGGGTAAATACCCCCAAGAATTTTTAAATCTAATTTTTTATAGGTACATTATCAAAAATAACGTCTTAAATATTACCAATACCCCCCAGACTTAAACTTTATTACCATTACCCCTCCAGACTTAAAATTCTGGATGCGCCACTGCGTACTTATAATTCGTATCTCTGTCTTTGTCAGTCATGGTCTACTTTAGAAACATTTTTTGTCGATCACACTTTATTATAAGTGTACTGACTGAAAGGATGGAAGATTGTATACAGTCAAATCCTAAGCTGCTACTTTTTTTGACTGTGTATAGAAATCGTTAAAATAAACATATTTTTCAAATAAACTGAAAAATAAGAAAAATCTAAATCCAGACCTGGATTTGTGTACGAAAAGTTAAATGAATTAATAAGTCTGTCTTTTCATTCAATACCTGTTACGGTATTGGCCAGAAGAGTAGTTCTTTTCCGAAGTTGTTTTATTTATTTTATTGTATGAATAATGCTTACATTAAAATGTAATAGCATATCTAGCAAATGGATTTATATTTAGTTTTACAGAAAGCAGAGCTGAACCCCACAAGATGAATGTCTAATGTTACGTGAAATTAATTTTAAATTAATTTCAAATTTACTTTTAACAACTTCTCCATAACTCCTCGTAAATGACCAAAATTTAATCGAATCTGAATTGCAAAAGCACGGCTTGCGCGCCGATCCTTCATTTTACTTCTACATTCACGCTAGTGAGCTATAAAACCTGCTGTTGTCGTCCAGATCGTCCTTTTTGGCTTATCGAACTACATGATGTGGTAGTGTGTGCCGACAAATAATTAACTATTAGTAGTTTTTCCATAATTATCTTGTATTTTTGTGTTTATTGTGTGTAAACGTTAAGGGATAATTGTCAGGTAACGTTTCTATCGCCTTATATTATTCACATTTTGCTGGATTTCGTTGTAAAACCTAAAAGATCGGCCATTTGCTTATTTTTATTACCACCATGCCGACGAATGGCGGTTTATTATTACTGCTTTATTTTATATAGATTATAGCTACCCTAACTAATAATATTTTTAAGCTTTCTTTGACACTTTGATATATACGCGGGGAAGCAACTAAATAATTAAATTACAAGTCAGTCTGGAAATACAGTTTAAACGAAAATTTTGGCCTTATAAATAGCTTATATTCTGTTCAGATGATGTAAAACTTATTGTTATAACTTATTTTGGCCTTATAAATATTTTATATTCTGTTCAGATGATGTAACTTTAATATTTGTCGTGATATTTTATATTCTGTTCAGACGATGTTACTTTAATATTTGTCCCGTTTATGCATAAATCCGTTAGGTTTCCAAACTGGCATGTATATGTACTTTTACACACGATACTGAGGTTTTTTTTATTTCTAAACCTGTAGTGGCTCCAAGAAGCCCCAAGAAGTCAAGAAGCTCCTAGAAGCTCTGAGAAACAGGAAGTACCGAGTTACGTAGTTGCTCCAGGAAGCTCTAAGAAACAAGAAGTCCGAGTTACGTAGTTTCTCCAAGTCCCGAGCTCCAAGCCCCAAGTATCTCAAGGCGGATTGTCCACGACACGACACACAAAAGGGAAGTATCGTACTTACTGTACTAGAATGCCACATGGTTGGGACAATTGATAAATTATCTAATAGTAAATTTTATTCATTCAAATAAACTATCAGTCAATTTTAATTCATTTTCTATTCAGATTTAATCACTATCTATTAATTTATTATATGTAAAATTCCACTCTTCTTTCTTTTTTTATTAAATGTATTAAATTTGTTCACTTTCTTTTATTTGCCAGAACTCATACAGATAACTTTAAGTACCAGAGACTGACTCAATTAAACAGGACATATCAAATCAAATAAGTTTCCCAAGTTACTCAAAAACTTGGTGGCTCTCAATATTTTTTGTCGTATTATAATATCTTTCATTATATCGTAAAATAGACTTTGGCCCGCGAATCGGGCAAGCTACTCTGATTTCATTTGTCTTGGTCAATTTATGAATCCACGCAGTATCAGCAATTTGAGCTAAATCACCTCTTAAGTACAATTTACATCTTAGAAATCTAAAAGAAGGTAACACTAACTCGATTTTTTTTTGTCATTTACACCTATTGGAAAGTTTATTTTGGGACACAGTGTATGTTTGCGTAATTTTCCTTTTCAAATGGATCTGGACGGGAAAATAAAATACTCTCAACTCAGTAGTGTAATTTGCTGTCAAAATTTGATAGTTTTTAATTGGTCGAATGACCTACAGCGATCTGGCAAGCAACACTGCATTTAATTTGACCATCCACTTTCTTCTCTCATGGCTTTCACGTTCTTTTAGGATATGGTCCGATATTAACCGACTACTATCAGCAAGTAACCAGGATTTTTGACAGCGGTTCCTGAAAAAAACTAATTTCTTGGTTACATTTGGACCACGACCGAGATTTACGTCACTTTTGTGACAAAGTGACATTCGACTTAATAGTAACCGAATAAATATGGCGGTTAGTGAATTGACATTTGAGTCTCCATTTTCAGGTAACCGCATCCCTATTTTAACTGATTTTTCAGGAATGGTTAGTTTTGGACCGAGTAACCGATATTTCGATTAATAACGGACCATACCCTTAATAATACCAATATTTTGAAAAATTGAAAATCAAGTAAATATATTTTCTGAGGAATTTCGATTTCTTTCAATTTCAAGCACACGAACTCTTGTCTATTAATATTTTGTCAGGAACGAGAAAATATTTATCAGAAACGTATTACCTGCTTGTGTCGTGTAGCAAGGATATCCCTTCTCCAACAGCTTGTTCATTCTCTCCTCTCGTCCTTCCTTTCCTTTTTTCAACAATTCCAAGGCTTCCTCCTTAGTGATGACATTTGACAGGTACCTGAAGTCAATGCAGGAAATTAGCTGTTCCGGTTCCATATCGGCTAAAAGTTGCCACACCGGTTTATTCACTAGTTTGCCCCACAGATCCCACAAGGCGTTGATTATGGCAGCGGTTGCGAGTGCTGTTACTCCTTTCTCGGGGCCGATCTGTAAATCGAATACGACTTAAAATATCCTAAAAGCTTAGCTTACCACATGAATACTTACCCATCTCAATTGACTTTCGCTAGTGAGAGATCTCCAGAAAACACCGAATTCCTTGTAGATGTCAGTGACCACTTGACCAATGACTAGATTTTTCATGGATTCAACGGCTGCCACTATGACTTCCGTACCTCTACCACACGTAAAAGTCAATCCATAACCTTCCAATCCGGTTCCCAGTTTTATAGTGACGTAAGCACAGGAATAATCGGGATCTGTGTGCTGTCAAAAACGAAAAAAAAAAAAAAAAAAAAAAAATAAATATCGTTCAAAATATTCCCCATTATTTTCAGTGCACCATTTTGAAAATTTTAATCAAAATGGACTGATTCACAAACATGTTTTTAAAGTAGGCCTTGGAAAAACCAAGGTCTTTTTTTTTAAGTGTCAGTTTGGAATTCAGAGCCGTGCGTAGTTATCACGGATATGGCCTACTTTAGAAACATTATTATATACGCCGCATTAATGATGACGTAATTTGTATTCCACTTACAATGACAGCGACAATATATTTATAAAACTAGAGGTTAGATAATAATTTGGTTATGTACATACCTTTAATAGGCGAAATGTCTTGTTTTATGTAGCGAGTGAATATTTGCAGGACGAGCAGAGCGAGGTCCTGCAACATGAACGAGTTACATAAACCGGCATTTCGTAACGTGTTACATACAATATTTTTACTAATTTTCTAATTACTGACATCTAGGCAATCAATATTACTACTTTCTTGTATTGTTAGTTGCATATTATTAACTTCATTCTTTTATTGACAAATAGAAAATATTAATTTATTCTTAGCGACTTGTTGAATTGTGTTTATATTGTTTCTTAAAGTTATTTAGATTTCAAGAAAGTAGGTTATTTTGTCGTGTATTGTGTTTTAATTATTTTGTGCTAATTTAGAATGAAAAAAATAAGGACCAAAACAACATTATTACTAGGTTGTAAGTTTAACCAAATTTTATTTTTATAAGTAACTCTGCCCTTTGATATAAACTTTCAATAATTATGTATAATATTGATTTTAAAACCATAAAAGATTTATTTTAATTTGTTTTCTTTTGGAAACTTGTGAAATAATAAATTTTTCGAAACATGCAATTGGTTAAGTAAAGTAGATCATTTTGACCCTTACAAAAAATGACACATTTATGTCAAAATTAGAAAAAGTACTTTTTACACTACAAAGAATATTAAAAGAAAAAACTAGGAATGTCTATGTCAAATTTAATGACAAATTGGTTTTTGTTAAAAAGATAACTGTCAGTGGAACACAAATTACTTCACACTAATATAGCGTATTATAGAAGCTGTCTTGATAAAAAAAACTTTTCATTTATATAAGGCACATACTTTGATTTTCTTTTACTATACGGAGAATGGTCGCACTGCGCAGCTTTCTGATTGCCTTTTAAGAGGAGATAGAAAACTCCGCCATTTTGATCCCTTATTACGTGTTGCCTACATCTTGGCGCAATATTTTTAATAGGTGCGTTTTAATCATCCGCTTCTGCTTCGGAATTGTCGGTTTTCTTGTTTTAATCTGATAGGTTAAAACGACTAAACCGACAATTCCGGAAGCAGAAGCAGATGATTAAAACGCATCTGATATTTTGCTTGCTGCTGTCAGTGTCAGTGAATATTATTTTTGGAGTCACAGTTTATTGCTAAAGAATCAGTTAGCTCACTCGGACCAGTTGAAAGTTCCAAAATAACATCCACTCCAGGGATACAAATTCAGGATACGCAGAAGACTGCTGTTTTATTATAGGCGGTTGTCATATATTGTATTATCTGAGTTGCGCAGTGTATAAACTGGAACATTGAGATCAAAAGTGCCGACGCAGAGTGAGCGATCTGATTCTTTAGCTATAAACTGTGGCATAGGAATCAAAATGGCCGCGCCCTATGTTGGGCGTGTCGGATCTCTCTCTTGCACCGTATAGTAAAGAAAATCAAAGTATGTGGTATAAGGTAATAGCCAGCAATTAGGCATTCCAACGAAGCTGTCAAAGAATAGCCGCCAGTGGAAAAGGCTCGTAAATCTAAGGGGGTTGCGACATAGCCTTCCGTCCTGAACGATATTTTTATCTGAAATAGTAGTCGCCAAGCCTGCCAAACAATAGCCGCCAGTGGGAAGGGTTCGTAAATCTAAGGGGGTTTCAACATAGCCTTCCATCTTGGACACTATTTTTATTTGAAATACACTAGTGGAAAAAATTAAGGGATCAAAAAAAATCTCGATTTTTTGCGATTTTTCAAGTGGCTGTATCTTTGGTAAAAATATTCGTACGTGAATTAAAAAAAAAAGCAATTTTATGCTTGTAGTGTCTAGTTTATGGAAGCACACCTTTTCTAATAAGGGATACAACTAAGGTAAGCAGGCCCCCAAGAGAGGCCGCTGTAGTCGCCAAACACATAGGCAGCAGAAATCGGTTAAAGTGGGCCGTAAACACTTTTGAACCGTTTAAGTCTCCAGGTGTGGATGGAATATTTCCTGCCCTGCTTCAGCAGGCACAGGAGGAATTACTACCACACATAATCCGGCTATCCGGGAGCAGTCTGGAGCTGGGATATATACCAGAAGCATGGAGAAGGGCCAGAGTCACCTTTATTCCAAAAGTAGGGAAAAAGGATACCACTAAACCCTTCCGACCAATCAGCCTCACATCCTTTGTATTAAAAACAATGGAGAAGGCTGTTGATAATTATATCAGAACGGAAGTCCTGGAGAGGGTGCCACTCCACCACAGCCAACACGCGTACCGAGCAGGAAGATCTACAGAAACTCCTGGTACAGTTGACTGACGTAATCCAGGATGCACTGACAAACAAAGAAACGGTAGTGTGTGCCTTCCTAGACATAGAAGGAGCTTTTGACACCACGCCACACGAATCTGTAAAAAGAGCACTTGCATACAGAGGAGTAGATAAACATCACATTCAGGTGGATGGCTCAGCTGTTATCTACGAGAACTGCAGAGACACAGATAGGGCAGGACACCATCTCCATCTGCACAACCAGAGGATGTCCACAAGGAGGAGTTATATCCCCACTAATGTGGAGCCTAAACGTAGACGAACTTCTATGCAGATTGACTGACCTCGGCATACCCTGTCAAGGTTATGCCAACGACATAGTCATATTTGCTAGTGGCAAGTTTAGTAATATCCTGTGTGATATAGTCTAACGAGGACTAGAACATACCAAAAGATGGTGCCGTGAAGTGGGACTTAATATAAACCCTACAAAAACAACACTAGTAGCCTTTTCAAGGAAAAGAAAACTTAATCTCAAAACCGTTAAATTAGACGGGATAGATATAGATTGGAAAAATGAAGTCAAATATCTAGGCCTAAACCTGGACAACAAACTTCTCTGGAACACACATGAGAAGGAAGTAGTAAATAAAGCCACAAAAGCCCTAATGGTATGCAGAAACATTGCAGGTAAACGATGGGGATGTAACCCAAACATACTGCGATGGATGTATACTGCAATAGTGAGACCAATCATCACTTACGGAGCTATAGCTTGAACGAGCTAGGCGAGAAAAATAGAGTTACTCTCACTTGGGTCCCGGGACATAACGGGATACAGGGTAACGAGATTGCAGATAGTCTTGCAAGGAAAGGGACTCAAACACCCTTTGTAGGACCTGAGCCGTTCTGCGGTATCAGCAGTAACATAATATTAGGAGAGATTAAAAAAGAATTGGGCATTAGAAAAACCGATAATTGGAACAATCTCTTGAGTCTGAGACATGCCAAGATACTTCTGGGTGAATATAACCAGAACAGATCGAAAGTCTGCATCTGCCTGAGCAAGAACAGGCTACGTATTGTAACAGAGGGATCCTTACCGAGCATTGCCGACTTAAAGGACACCTAAGTAAACTGAGAGTAGTAGAGGATAGTGAGTGCAGATTCTGTGAGGAGGAGGACGAAACCTTCATTCACATGCTAACTGAATGTGTAGCACTCCAGAATCCAAGGGCACTATATCTAGGAGGATATCAAATAGAAGAGGGAGATTTACTTAACTGGAAGCCACTTCAAATCCTACACTTCCTTGAGAAAATAGGATTGGAAGGGTCGTTATAGGCATTGAGACATTTCCTTAGTGCATTGGCAACAGAAGGGGGCACAATAGATCTTTTAGGTCGCAGTGTATTAACACCTCATTCCCAACATAACATAACAAAGGGATGCAAAAAAATTTCTTGTGAAAGAACATGCCAGAACCTTGTAGAGAATGAATCGAAGTTTTCGAAACTCCCCTTCCATTTTCTGAGCGGCCATTGGTTCCTGAGATATTGACGAGAGAAGAGGAAATGACGCATTTTCGTTAATTTTCTGATAACTCAGCAAGGAAGGGTCATATCGAGGTCATAAAAAAAAGGAATTGAAGCTAACTGAACCACCTATCCAATGCATCTAGTGGTTATGTCGAGAAATTTTTTTCAAGTCCGTACACTAAAAATTAAAAATTCAAAAATTTTCTATTCATGATATTCATTAGGATTTTGTGCTAATTGTTGGTAGGAAAATTTTTTTAACGCAAGATCCATAAACTAGACACTTCACGTACGACCATTTTTACCAAAGATACAGCCACTCGAAAAATCGCAAAAATCGAGATTTTTTTTTATCCCTTAATTTTTTCCACTAGTATAGTAGTCGCCAAGCCTGCCCATTTATAGAAAATGTATAAGCGGTTTCTTTTAAAATAATATGTTCATCGTGTTCTACATAAAATATTTAAATTTAATCCCTTAATTATGATTTCACGTATTGTAGACTACATTGTATGTTGCAAATCTTAGCACCGCGTTTTATTTGTTTGGAATCCCTAATGGAGAATGGATAATTATAGTGTACATTAATTTAAACTCATAGTCCTAAAAAAGCAAAATAAAATTATCATTTCAACTCGGATTCTTAACATTTCAAACATTAATTCTATGCGTCATAAAAGGTATATTTTTTTTAAAGGGCAGTATCGAATTGCAGTTTCATAAACTCAAACATGAGAAAGATTTTACCCTTTCGAATTTTCTACAAGACAAAAATATAGGAATAAAAAAATATTTATTTAGGATCGCTAAATCTGGTTTATCCAAACAAAGACTTAACTTTTGAAATAATCTCTATATAAACTTAAATTATTTTACAGTAAATCTATGATTTTTGATTATAGAGTAATAATTTTAGATTAT